GAAATCTGTTGAAATGGCTTTGTTTTCAAATCTGGAATGCACCGATATCGTTTTAACGTACGGTGAAGCTCGGGGAAACGGCACTTGCGTCCAACGAATGTTTTCAGAAAACCTCCCAAATCGTCGTCTGCCAAATGTGCGCAGTTTTAAGAACGTTGCAGCATTTTCGAGAGTACGGATCTTTTAAACCTGTACATCAGGTTCGGGGTAAGTTACGTAGTAATAGAATTGCTAATATTGAAAAGGCTGTTTTGAAGAGTGTCGAAGCTCGACCGGGCACTAGCACGTATCACTGTCTGGTGAGATGTATCGGAGAGTAGTATTTGGAGGATACTCAGAGAACAAATGTACCCCTTTCAGGACCAGAAAATTCAGTTATTGAAACTAACAGACTTACCACGTAGACAAAACTTTTGTGAGTGGGTTAATAGAAAAATAAACGAACAAGCAAATTTTGTATCAACTGATGAGGTCGGATACACGAGGGAAGGTGTTCAACACCCACATTTGGGCCGATGAAATTCCGTACGCCATTAGGGAGCAGGATTTTCAATTTTTCTCTAAATGTTTGTCACATTGACAAGATAAGGAAAATACGTATCCTAGTAACTGTTTTTGACAATAAATTATTAATTATAATAATTATTAGTGTCCATGGGTGACTGAGGATCCATGGGCGGGTAACCTTAATTGGGATATAACTTTAACAATTTTTAACTTGATAATTAAAAAGTTCTTGACAAAACTTTACTAAAAAAAGTTGTTGAGTTCAATGAGCTCTATAACTGATTAAAATTAATGTACTTATTTCTGAGACACCCTGTATATATATATATATATATATAAACAAGGTAAACTAACAAAAGTAAATAATCATTTCCTACCATTACTACAAATACAAAATGATATAAAGAAGTAATAGAAACTATCAAACTGAATATAACAAAAAAGCTAAGCTAAAATAAAATAAAATACAACTATAACTTATTATAATATAATGAAACCTGAGACCTAAACCGAGCTTTCGACAATTCAAAAACAGAAATTTCAGATCGATTTGAATATTCGTTAGCAGCTTTCATCATTCTTTTCAGCGGATGGTAATAGGCCAGAGTTGTACTTGACGTTGGAACCCTAAAAATGTTTTTACTGCGTGTTATCCGGCTACTTATTACAGGCAACAAGAAGGATAATTTTCCTAACAAATATGGTTGATCAATATGCCCATTGATAATGCCGTGAAGAAAGCAGGCATCAGCAATCAATCTTCGTCTAAATAATGACTGAATATCTAACATGTTCATTATCCAGTTGTAACTACCCTTAACATGTCGATGCCCAGATTTGAATTCCATAGTGCGAAGAAATTTGTTTTGGACTTTTTCTAACCTTTCAGAGTCTACCTTATAAATCGGGGACCATACAGGAGAACAATAATCAAAATTCGACCGAACAAGTGAACAATAAAGAGATTTCAATGCTGAGGGTGAAAGATCGCTAGAATGACGCCAAATAAATCCCCACATGTTTAAAGCTTTTTTAATAACAAAAGAGTAATGATTTTTAAACGAAAGGGACGTGTCAAAAATCACTCCTAAATCCTTAATTTCTGAGACACGTGAAACACTATGGTTTTCTAAATGGTAATCATAAATAGTGTGTGTTTTCGTTGTAAAAAATGAAATTACCTGACATTTATTAATATTCAGAAGCAACCAGTTTTTGTTGCACCAGTCAAATAGTACATTAAGGTCCATCTGAAGTTGTTCAGCATCTTGAACCGAATTTACAGATTTAAATAATTTTAAGTCATCTGCATACAACAAATAATTAGAATAACGGAAGCCACAAGTCAAATCATTTATAAATAACAAAAAAAGAACAGGTCCACAGTGTGTGCCTTGAGGAACACCAGATGTGACGCAAAAAGGAGTCGAATTATAATTCCCAATGCGAACTTGTTGAGATCTGCCAATCAAAAATGGAGATAACCACCGAACCGTTTTGTCATTGAAGCCTAATCTGTGTAATTTCATGATAAGTAAACGATGATTCACACGATCAAAAGCTTTCTCGAAGTCCGTATACACAGAGTCAACTTGAAACCGATTAGCAAGTGCTTCATTTAGGAACGTCTGATATTCAATAAGATTGGACAATGTTGATCTACCAGGGCAAAAACCATGTTGTTTATAAGAAATTACCGACCCGGATGCCCATTGCAACTGGGTAGTTACAATAGAATCAAGCATCTTAGGAATAACAGATTGATTACAGACACCTCTGTAGTTGTTGATTTTATCTCGCTGTCCCGATTTAAATATAGGCGCAATATAACTTCTTTTCCACAGTTTCGGAAAAACACCTTCATTTAACGAACTTTTGAATAGAGTGAACAAAGGTCTACACAATGTATACATACAATTTTTAAGGACTATACTCGGAACGCCATCTGGACCCGAACTACAAGACGACTTCAAGTTAGAAATATGCGTAAAAACATCAAGGAGATTAATAGTTAGACCGGCTTCATTAACTTGACTAACAGAATCAAAATCACAATTAAAGTTACGGTTATCATCCACAATATAAACTGAAGAAAAATATTCAGCAAACAAACTCGCAATTTCATAACCCCCTTTTGCTGAACGCTGATCCAGAGACATTTCTTTTGGGAAAGTACTAGCATTACTTTTCTTGTCACGAATAAATTTCCAAAAAAATTTGGGGTTATTAAAAATACTAGCATTAACGTTGGAAATGTATAACTCATAGAGTTGTTTGCTAAGTTCCTTACACTGCGATCTTAACAATTTAAAGTACAGATAATCTTCAAATTTGCCGGATTCTTTATATTTAGAATGTGCTGATCTTTTCTTTCTACAAAGATCCTTAAGCTCCTTATTAAACCAAATAGGATAATTCTGGGCATTATGCTTTACCGTTTTATATGGGATATATTTTTCAAAACCAACAAATAGAATGTCGTAGAAGATTGACACTTTCTCATCAAGATTACTACTAGTCAATAAAAAATCCCAACAAATTGAAGCAAAATATCCATTCAAGAGGTTATAATCGCCCTTTGCAAAATCATAAATACAAAATTCGAAGCGTAATGATGGTGTAACACTGGTGGACATCTGCCATGAACAAGGAGTATGATGAATGCTTTGTACAAATATAGGATCTAGCGCAGGCGAAACTTGTATATCAACCACATTTGAAAATATTAAATCCAAAAAAACGTTTCGACTGTTAGGAATCATGTTAATTTGTTTAAGGTTCAAAAGCGCAGAAGTTGAGCTTATAGCATCGCAATATTCCTGCTGACTAACTGAAGAACAGCTAACATCATCTCCGTTCCAGATAAGATCGGGGAGATTAAAATCTCCGGCGATTATGTAGGATGAATTGGGGAAACGATCAAAGATTGACTCCAGATCACTGCAGTACTCCTCATAAATGGAAAGTGGTGATGCAGGAGGAATATATACCCCACCCACAATCAAATCTATATCGTTATAAGTTAAACGAACAAAAACACTTTCAACAGAATGCCCGGATAGTATAATTTGAGATTGAAAAAATTTGTTAATGGCAATCAACACCCCACCACCACGTAATTTACCTGTAAAATGAACATTGCGATCCGCACGAAAGATGTTGTAATTATTTAAACACAACTCGTTATTACCAATACTACTACATAACCACGATTCTGAAATAATGATAACGTCATACACTGACAAATTAACTTTCGAAGAAAAATCCTTTATCTTAGACCTAAGACCGCCAACGTTCTGGTAATAGAAATTTATTACTTTTTTGGAAAAGTGGTTCGGGAAGTGCCTTTTTTAACGATGAAGGCTTGATTATTTTTATATTGAAGACCTATATCCGTTTCACCATTAGACAACCTTTTCTTAAACTCATCTCGTACATTGTTGTTAAAATCGCGTTGAAATCTCGTTAAATCAGGACGAAAATGATTGTTACGATTACTATTAGCCTTGTTTGATCTAAGAATATTTTTAGCATCGATTTCGGATTCACAAACAATCTTTAAGTGTAGTGAGGTGGACGATAGTACAATTAAATAGACTTAGATGACTCGTACAGTAAGAATTTACGTGTAAAACTGGGTTTATTGTAAAACTCATTAATATAATTTAAGAATAAATTAACAGAAGGCGATACATATTTGTATAGGAACATTTTTAAGTACTAATTAAACGTTAATATATGACGAAATCGTTTCGTTACCGGTTATGAATGATTACTTTAGTCAAATTTCTTATTCCTGTGAATCGACTATACTTTAGTAGGTCCAATCTTTATTCAAAAGACAGTGAAACACTGGATACACGTTGAAAGATTAAAATAGAGAAAGAGAAATTCTTCCTTCTCTTTCCCTGAAGATGTTCATTAAACGAAACTAATTGGGAAACTTGCATAAAATAGGGACAGCAAACCCTCTCTTGCTTAAAATGTGTAACTGGTCCACATTGAATTCACTTAATTTTATTACGACAATAAAAAAAAATACGGAAAACTCTGCCAAGAAGACTTGCCCTAGAATAGCAGGAAACCTAATTGAAGACCCAACGAAAGAGGAAGTTGCGCAAATAGTTAAACCGTTAAAAAACTTAAAACATGGACGATAAATTATACAGGAGCAGCTGGTTGAGATAATCAAGAAAGTATTGAATTCTGAGGATTGAAATAAAACAATTAAAATCCCGATCCAAAAAAAGGGGTTAAGACCGAGTGCAGAAGTTACAGGGGAATATCGTTGTATGGAGTTTTTTTTTACGTATTTGTGCAACCATGTTGCGACGTACTAAAACCTGTATTACTAGACAAGGACTACATTTTCAACATTTGTTGTTGAGATTTTGTCCCATTCGACTTTCATTTTGTTTTCACTATATTTCCACATTATTACGGTACGTGAAGCCCTGGTTATAATTATTGCATATAAGTATTTCAAAATCAACCTGTATACTCTGAAAAATAACCGACATTTACATACTTAGTAAAACTCTATGCATTGTTAACAGATGTGAAAAAAATGGTATATATTTCCGCTATATTAAACTACAACGAAACCGTTTGAAAAAGTTCTCGACTCTAGGATTCCTTCAAGAAGGACCGGGTTCTTCTAACTCCGCGACAAATTTTTCGTGGTCCTTGTCGTAAGCTATATGTTGAACCGTCATTGATATTTCGGCGCCGGCTGTCGCCAAGTAGTGGACAACATTTTCGTGGCCCATTAGGAGAGCTATGAAAAGCGGTGTACCACCCATTTTAGTAGCGCTATTGATATCGGCGCCGATTGTCACCAAGTAATCGACAATTATTTCGTGGCCCATTTGGGAAGCTATGTAAAGTGGTGTCACACCGTCATTCGTAGCGCAATTGATTTCGGCGCCGACAGACACCAGGTATTCAACAACTTTTCTGTGGCCGTTTTGTGAAGCAATGTGAAGTGGTGTCGAAGAGTCATTTACAGTGCCATTAATTTCAGCGCCAGCTATCGCCAAGTAATCGACAACTTTTTCATGGCCCATTTGGGAAGCTATGTAAAGTGGTGTCGCACCCTCTTCAGTAACGCGATTGATTTCCGCGCCGACTGTCGCCAAGTACTCAACCACTTTTTCGTGGCCCATTTGGGAAGCTATATACAGTGGTGTCGAGCCGTCGTTCATTGTGCAATTGATTTCGGCACCGACTGTCGCCAAATATTCAACAACCATTTCATGGCCATTTAGGGAAGCTATGTAAAGTGGGGTCGCACCCTCTTTAGTAGCGCGATTGATTCGTGCGCCGACCGTCGCCAAGTATTCGACAACTTTTTCGTGACCCCTTTGTGAAGCTACGTAAAGTGGTGTCGCACCCTCATTCGTAACGCAATTGATTTCGGCGCCGACGGTCGCCAATAATTCAACAACTGTGGCGTGACCGTTGAGGGAAGCTATGTGAAGTGGTGTGACACCGTTTTCAGTGGCGCGATTGACTTCTACGCCGACTGTCGCCAAGAATTCGACAACTTTTTCGTGACCCCTTTGTGAAGCTGTGTAAAGTGGTGTCGCACCGTCATTCGTAGCGCGATTGATTTCGGCGCCGACTGTCGTCAAGCATTCGACAATTTTTTCGTGACCCCTTTGTGAAGCTACGTAAAGTGGTGTCGCACCCTCATTCGTAACGCGATTGATTTCGGCGCCGACGATCGCCAAGTATTCGACAACTTTCTCGTGACCCTTTTCTGAAGCCATGTAAAGTGGTGTCATACCGTTATTCGTAGCGCGATTGATTTCGGCGCCGACTGTTGCCAAGTATTTGACAACTTTCTCGTGACCATGGAAGGAAGCTACGTGAAGTGGTGTCACACCGTTTTCCAAAGCGCGATTGATTTCAGCGCCGACTGTCGCCAAGATTTCGACAATTTTTTCGTGACCCTCTTTTGAAGCTACGTAAAGTGGTGTCATACCGTCATTCGTAGCGCGATTGATTTCGGCGCCGACTGTCGCCAAGTATTCGACAACTTTTTCGTGACCGTTGTATGAAGCTATGTGAAGTGGTGTCACATTGTCTTCATTAGCGCGATTGATTTCGGCGCCCACTGTCGCCAAGTATTCGACAACTTTTTCGTGACCGTTGAAGGAAGCTATGTGAAGTGGAGTCACGTTGTTTTCATTAGCGCGATTGATTTCAGCGCCGACTGTTGCCAAGTATTCGACAATTTTTTCGTAACCGTTTTGTGAAGCCATGAGGAGAGGTGTACAGCCGTCATTCGTAGCGCGATTGATTTCGGCACCGACTGTCGCCAAGTATTCGACAACTTTTGCGTGACCGTTGAAGGAAGCAATGTGAAGTGGTGTCAGACCGTCAATCCTAGCGCGATTGATTTCAGCGCCGACTGTCGCCAAATATTCGACAACTTTTTCGTGACCCATTTCAGAAGATACGAAAAGTGGTGTCGCCCCATGTTTATTACAACAATTAATTTCAGCGCATGCCTCCGCTAAGCAATCGAAAGAGCTGTCAACGGTGCTGTGATTGATTTCTTCACCGACGTTCAGAACATATTCTAAAGTATTTTTGTGGCTGCTTTCGGTTTCACAAACTTTGTTGGATTTGTTAATTTCGTCATTTAAATGTAACAAGTATTTAACAATTTTCAGGTGACCACTTCTACTCGCTAATAATAGAGGTGTTTCAGCATTTCCGGCAGTAACAAATTTGGTTTCATACCAGCGATTTTTCCTGCTTTTCTCCTCTTGGACGGTGAAAAGCTCACACACTTGATCATATCCAAGTAAAGAAGAATAATATAAAATATTAATTATATCGTTAAGAGAACTTGAGTGACGATACAGTTCATTTTTTTTTGCTTGAAGTAATATTATTTCCGCACCTAAACTCTCACTTTTTCTGGCATAGGACAAGGGCGTCGTATCTAGCAAACTATCGTGTTCTTCAACATCATTCTTGCTCTGCAAAAATATTACCGTTTCAAAATACGTCTCGGTTTCTGCTTGTTTATCGAAATTGCTGTCTTCATGCACAACACACTTCCCATTTTCAACCGTTACTTTTACACGCGGATGTCTTTGTCCCCATGAAGAAATCAGATGTAAAGCACTTCTACCACCTTTATCTTTGCATGTTAAAGTTTCTTCATCATAAGTTTTAAGTAGTTCATATTTCTTATACAAGACAGCAATGTGAACTTTACAATTTTTGACTAACAACATGTCGAAAAAAAAACGAACATTATTATACTTTGCGTTGAATATTAAGTCCCCAAGTGTATCACGCAAGGTATTTAAATTTTTTGAAAAATATATCGCGACTAAGTATTCAGCAAAAGAACCATGAATAAAATGTGCCACATCATTTTGGAATTCACTTACAAGACCAACAGACACACATTTTTGTGAATTTTTTTCTTTATGTTTTTCACAGACGACATTTAATCGTTTCAGAATGTCTTCCGAAAATATTAATTTAAGTGCCACTCTCTCGTAATTACCTAAAATCTCCTTTTTTTCTTCGCGAATTCTACTAACCATGTGAGGATTTTTAAAATCAAACGCCAATTTATCTTTGAAAAAATTATTAAATTTTTCATCAATGAAGTATTCGTATAAATCAGTCAAGAGAAATATATTTTCCATTAGTTTCAAATATTTGTCTTTGTTTTGACGAAATAGTTCAGTAACCATGAAGATTTGGAGCGGAATTCCCAATATATTAACGTGTTCGATAATCGCGAACGATGATTTAATTTTTTCGATCGTGATCTCAATTTCGTCTACAGAAATGAAAGAAGCTAAACGTTTTCTTACATAATTTTGTTGTTCTTGTTCGTCAAACTGATTTATACTATGTGCCAACACATTGAATTTTTTTTCCAGAAATGGTTTTAAATGTCTTCTACTGGTAACCCACTGAAGGAAACCTTTTGTTGAGAATCCAAGTATTATTTGATACACGGCTTCTAAGTGTTCTCCTATAATTTCATCGAGCGCATCCCACACGTAAACAACATTATTTTTCTGTACACACATTTCGAAAAATCTTCGTTCGAATTTTTTGAGCGACCGACATTTTTCATTTACGATAAATTTTTCAAATAAATCTGTATATTTAGTTGTTTTAGAAAACTTAGGATTGTAAAAAAATGAGTGCACATCGGTAGGATTAATTATAATTGTCCAATATTGCGGTGAACATTTATTTTTGCAGCTTTTCATTAACTCGGATTTCCCCATGCCGGGATCGCCACATATTAGATTGATGTTATTATCTAACCGAGAACACCATAGTTCATTTTCGTTCGTACAGTATTTGTCATATAACTTATAAACCTCTAAATCACCAACATCGCCTCTGCTTTTAATCCATTCTAAATTACAATCTTCGGAGAGTTTAAAATAGTGAATTTGTTTGGCTTCTCTATTTTCATCGTAAATTTGTTCTAGTTCTAAATCACTAACATTTCTATTACTTGTATAAACTGTATTGGTAAAATTTGATTTATCCGGATTAAATTTGTGTTTAAACTGAGTTGGATTAGATTTAGCCACATAAAATTCATTTCTTTGATTTTCAAAATTCTGATTTGTTATCTCTAAGAAGTAACTGATATCAATTAATTTAGACTGCTTGAGTTTGTCTTTAACTTTATCAAAATTATCGGCGCAATTTAAAATAATAATTGTGTTTTCCCAAAATTTTTCTAGGTATTTAATGTTAATAATATTTCGGGAAAGACTCCGCTCAATATAAGGTTCAGGAAGAATCTCTTTTTCTCCGCCTATATAACACGGACCGTCTAGCATTTCCACTAAGTTATCCGTTGTGACACTTTCTAAGAATTCATCGCTATTTCCAAAAGCTGTTGCAAGATTAATTTCTCCCTTTCCTTGGATCGATATGGTAAAATTTTGCATGATTCTTTCGCATAAATCAGGTTTCCAAATCAAGTTTGATAGATTTTGGAACACGGAATAGATTTTCATCCACTCCTCTTTCTTGCCTTCGCCAATTAGGATGAACTTTTTATCGGGACAGAGCTGGATGGCCTTTTCGACGTTCTCATGTTGACGTATTATTAATGGACACTTGTCTGTTAACCATAATAGTTGAATAAATATCCTTGGATCTATTTTGTCGATGTTTTTATGATCAATATAGTTGATTGCTGGGAAGTACTTTTTCCTTACTTTATTTAATTCTATAAAGTCAAAGTTGTTTTGTTTTTTAATGTCGTACCACATTGAATTAAGCTTTTCGTACGATTCTTTTTCAAGTAGTGTAATGTCGAAGAGGGAAACGGCTTCTCGAAGTATTTTCACTTTATCATTACCGGAATTGACATTATCTGAGCCAAAAGATAGGGGCTCAATATGGGAAGATAGAAGCAGTAGAGCAATTACACGTTCCATCCACTTCCTATTTAACTTTTCTTTGTTACCTTTTTGGATATTCCACTCAGATAGTATCTTGAAAAATTTTTCGAATATATCCTGATTCGAATAATACGTTGATTTGAAGTTTTCAGCCACACTGGTTTTTAGGGTGTCAACATTATTTTGATCGGTATACAGATAAAATTTACTAAAAAACCTCTGATATTCTCGAATTTTGAGAAGCACTTCAGCATTCCAGTCTTCTTCTATTATCTTAAACTGATACGCACAATCTATCTCTGCAAGTTCCGAAGCAGCTTTTACTTTAACAGGAATTATAGAAAATTCTTCTTCTTCTAGGTGAAATGATGTATTTTCGTCACACTTAAATGGTCTGTTAGTAAATAATATTAGTTCGCATGCGTCTTTCTTAATTTCCTGGAAGGTCTTGAAATATTTGACAATGCTGAAGTCTCCTGTTTTTGACATCAAATTTTTTGTGGACAATATTCTATTTTCGGTGTGTTTTAGCTGTACTGCTTTTATTTCGTTTCCCTTATCCGACTCAGTTTTAATAACTATGTCATCAAAAGCTCCGAACCCTTCTTCATTCGACGAAACATGAAAGTTTTTTGTTGTGGCGTCTTTTACTAGTTCTAGGATAACAAAAGCGAGAACCACATCCTCATACTCCTTACCCCTATCCGTGGTTCCGCTTCTTTTTTTAAAACTCTAGAAAAGAATAAAGAATTGGAACATGCAATAATTGTTTATTATTGAATTGAACAACTTTGAAACAAAGATAGAAATTATAAAAACCGAGGGAAAATGGCGGTATTTTAAAGAGAAATAATTTATGGAAATTGTAACTTTACCAAAAATGTGTGTCGGGTCGCTGTTCTGACCCATGAATTATCCGATGCCATAATTATTTCTCCTCATTTTCCACATTATAATATGCCACGACAAGACCATAAGGAACAAAACGAAGACAGAAAAAGATTATGAAAATGCAGTTCAGATTGGTACTGAAATATAACAATTAATAGCAAAGAATGAAATTGGAATAAATAGAACGAGAGATTCGAAGAAATTGTGATTCATGTGGTCGCAGATCACCTGCACACCTATAGCTCCTCAATTGTAGAAATAACACCTGTACATGAATTACTTCGAAATACTGTCAACAGTGGCGGCTGGTGGGAGTGGGCAAGGTGGGCAGTGCCCAACCTAATTTTTTCGAGGTTTTAAAATTAATAAAATATGAATTTCTCAAATTTTATACAAAATAAATCCAATAACAAATCCTTGCAATTATGTTCCTTAAAATTCCTACGATCAACATGCTCGTTATACTCCTTATTTTCGGATAAAAGTGATCTTCGGGCTAGCCCGAGACGCCTGAATTAATCTGTACGCATCTACCATACCGAGATTAGTCTGAAAAACAGAGAACACCACATAGTCGCAGGCTCTGTTGCGTTGGCTGGCGTGGAGTAGGGATACACCACGAGTGACCAAGCTCGGGCTTGCCCAGAGCTCACATATAAAGCATATAAATAATACGAGTACATACTACACACTGGATTAGGGCTTCGCTGAAAAATGTAGTTGCTATAATGAGAATTTAAAAATGGAATTGAAAATTATAGGTACATAATTTCTTTCAAGTAATCAGTAATATCATTTTTTTAATAAATTCAATTTGTTTTATAGTGTAAATGATACGGACAAAACACGAACTAAAACAATTTTCATTACGGCTAATCGTCATAGTGAAAAATTTTTCCACATCTTGGCTGAAAAAAAAACCGATTTGTGTCAGATTCGTATTTTATCTGCTATTTCGAATGTCGTAACATTGTATTCGGTAATGCACACAGCCACCGCTGGTAAGGCTGACGGGTTGACGATACAGGCTGGGCTTGCCCAATCGGATAGTTTCGTAGTTGCCTCGTGTCACATCGTGAACCGTTAAATATTACAAAATTGTTTAGTGTTCTGAGGGGTTGTGGTGATTTAATTTAATTGTTTTGTAGTGCAATAATCGTAACATAAAAATCATGGCAAATGGTAACAATTTGACAAGCTGTAACAGCAGTATTCTGTCATCGTCATCGCCTTCAACATCAGGTACAGGTATTAGTTTAAATACAAACATCCGGGAGGTGGTCAACAATAATGATGATGTCGTAAATTTCTTATTGGAGACTAAATTTAGCAGACTAAATTATGATGATAAACTTTTTATAATAAAATTGAAACCACGTCCACAAATGAAAAATTTAATAATGAAAAATAAAGGCAGCAGAGGTAACAGAGGGTTTAATAATAATTGGTACGATAAGTATAACTGGCTCACGGGAAGCGAAAAGCGAAACAAACTTTACTGCTGGAGTTGTCTTTTATTTTCTGAGACTAAGCAAAGTCCTTGGACTAGTGGCTACGACGACTTAAAACACTTATCCGAATCGTTGCAAAAACATGGAAACTCAGAACAACATACTCATGCGTCTTTAAAATTTAAATTGTTTGGAAAAAATAATATTCAAGATTCAATAGATTCAGCCCATGTTCAAAGTATTTTAAAGCATAATGAACTGGTTAAAGAAAATAGAGAAATAATAACGAGGCTGATTGATATGATCATTTATTTAGCAACCCAAGAACAAGCATTCCGCGGCCACAATGAATCAAGAGATTCTTTAAATCAGGGAAATTTTAGGGAATTAGCGTCACTGCTCTCCAAATATGATAATAAATTTAAGGTATTTTTGGATGAATCTTCGGTATTCACTGGGCTTTCAAAAACTATTCAAAACGAGTTAATTGAAAGTATTAATAAAGTAATTAGTGAGATTATAGAGAACGAAATTAAAATGAGCCCCTTTTTTTCGTGGCAAGTTGATGAGACCACTGATATTAATTGCCGATCTCAAGTATCTGTAATTTTTCGTTATGTAAAAGAGGGTATACTGTCCTCAAAGATATTTGGCGTTTATGGCTTTGACGTTTAAAGTACTTTACAGCCGACCCTTCATAAAACTTAGTAAATGTAAACCATGCCACGTGCCAGGGACGGTCGAGACGCGAAGGACCGGACTCAGAGTAATTTTGTTTGTTAAAATTTTTAAAAATTATTGTCTTACATTAAATAGTGACAAATAAATAAAAAAAAATAATAACAGGCCATTTAATTAGTATTTTTGTAACAATTTATTTTTAAATACTTTTCGAAATATTGTAGCAAAAAATTTTGCCGGTGATCCCAAAAACATATATTTGTAAGTAGAAATGCGGTTTGTAGCAGAAGCTACAAAACACAGTGCCTTCTTGAAGAATAAATTCAGGAAAAGATTTAATCTATAAATTAATTTGAGTTATCTTCGACATATTGACACACGTGTACTGTTTTAAATGCTTTCAAACCAAACTCAAGTTGAAAAGTAACAGGATAACGTCTCAAACATACTTTTAATACACTTAAATAACGGAATTTCCGAAAATAATAAGGGACCGGATTTAAGTCGTTAACCACTTCCAAGAAATACTTCTCAAACAATATAATCCTTAATGCTTGTACCTACCTGGCTTCGGAGCGAATTTGAAATCTGGTCGTTATTCTACTTGAATTTTGGAAACGTGGTCGACAAGTTGTGTTTTCATGTGCGTTATTATTGTTTTTGTGTTTATTTTCTTATAATCAAAACAGTCTTTTTGAAGACTCTGTTCTTTAGCAATTTTAAAAAGGTATTTCACAAGAACTAAATTTTATAACGGGTGTATTAAATAATTTAAAATTTCCTTACAGAACATGATTTATACTTTGAAGAAAATTACACAAAGACACAATTATTAGAAGTGTTACACACTCGAAAATTTGAGAAACAATATAAAATAGATGCTATGGCGCGAGATCGTGGATTTAGGGTGATTAGACTTCCGCCGTACCATTGTATATTTAACCCCATCGAACTAATCTGGTCGCAAATGAAAAATAATATAAGAAGGAATAATAAATACGGCACCAAAATTTAGTAGTGCAACAATTGACATAATTAGGGAAGAAGCTTCCAAAATAACTGCCGAAATGTGGGCCAATTGTGTACGACATTCCACAAAAGAAGAAGACCAGTACAGGGCACGGTTGATAACACCGTTAATTATTAATTTAGAAGAGTCGAGTGATGATGACAGTGACTATTTCGATCAATAAATAAGCAGTAGTAGTTAATAAGTAAATAGTTGTGCTGTAATAAAAAATGATTGAGTATAAAGTTACTTTGTTTTTACTTAAAATAAAAAACTCGAAAGGCGCAGTTGTCGGTAAATGCAAAACTCAGTCCTGCCCTGTGCTTTTACCAGAAAAGGTCTTTTCAGGTAGGTATCGGTGAGCGGGTTTAAGACATCCGGTTGTGACGGCCTATTGAATTATAATGGGAGTCAAATTGGTGTGAAGTCATAAACGCCAAATACGTTTGAGGATAGTATAAAGCTGTTGAACGCTTTATGGGATTTTTTGACGCTAGTGAAGGTAGAACCGCTGCCGATTTATTTAATTTGTTAACAGAAAATTTTAGTAAATACGATATCACTAATAAGCTGATCGGTCAAACTTATGATGGTGCTTCCGTAATGTCTGGTGAATTGAATGGGTTACAATCAAGGGTTAAGCAGATAGCTCCTCAAGCTCTGTTCACGCACTGTTACGCTCATAGGTTAAATCTCATATTACAAGACGCATCAACATCTATTAAAGAATGTCGAATTTTTTTTGCAAACATAAAAGGATTTCCCACATATTTTTCTAAATCAACAAAAAGGACTAATATTTTAGATCAAATGTGTACTAGGAGAATACCTAGCGGATCCGACACCAGATGGAACTTTAAATCACGTTTGATAAATGTTATAATTGAAGAAAGGGATAAACTTGTACTTGTTTTTGACAAAATTATTGATTCCGAAGATTTTGTAAGAGACGGCGATGCGATTAGAGAGGCGATAGGCTTTAAAAAAATCCTGAAAAATTTTAATTTTTTAATATTGCTTCATATTTTCAGTCTCATATTTGAACAAACAGAATTCATTTTCGATATAATTCAGTCCAAATCGACAGACATATCATACTGTAAGAAAAGAATAGAAAATTTGCAGCAAACATTAAATAATTTCAGATCAAATGACAATTATTTTAATAAAATATATAATACAGTTTCCAATATTACTGAGCCACCAAATTTATCTAAGAAACGTAAGTCGAACTATGATGGAATTGATGATCCTAAAACGTATTTCAAACGCGTATTTAATGAAATTCTTGACATAATAACTACTCAAATAGAAGTTAGATTTAGAGATATGGCAACTTTAGATTTTCTAGATTTATTGAATAAAGACAAATTTATGTCATACAGACAAACGTTTCCCCAAAATTTAGTTAATTCCTTACTTAAGAATTATAAAATTATGTTCACCCAAGCTAAGTTGCAAAGTCAGTTGCGCGTGTGGTATTCAGATATAGACCTACTTGGAGATTCTTCAAATTATGCCGACATTTTAAATTTCATTTTTATTAATGATCTGCAAAATGAGATTTCAGAAATATATAAATTGCTTTGTATCGCTTTATGTTTACCCTCGACTTCAGCTTCAGTGGAAAGAAGCTTTTCAACTTTAAAAAGAATAAAAACTTTCACTAGAAATTTAATGACTCAGACGAGATTATCTAGTTTATCAAAGATTGCCATCGAAAGGGGTTTGATCAAAAAACAAGTCCAAACAACACAATTTTATGACAGAGTAATAGACCATTTTGCCTTACAAAAAAATAGACGCATTGACTTATTTTATAAAAATGTGCCAAATACCAGTTCATAATTTTTTTTATCTCAAGAGTTTCAAAAAGCATCACTCTAGAATATTTTTTATTTTGTTATACTGTTAATTATTATTTAGAGTTTATTTTTTGTTTTTTACGATTTTCTATTTAAGAATTTTTTTATGTTTTGAGAATTTTTTATTTTTATTTTTATTATTTGTTATATTGGTTTTATTATTTTTTATGTAGAGTTTATTTTTAGTTTTTTTTACATATTTACTAACCTTCAATGCCCCACACTAACAATGACCTTTCATTTTTTCCTTCCCCGGCAAGATATCGCTCCGAACCTTCACGTGGTTCTTGCCGAACGGTGTATTTTTCAAATTTTGGAATTATGCCGGCTAAAACGGAGCCCAAACCAAAAAACGTACAGAATAACTACGCTGTAAGAACCTCGTGATACATAAAATACTTTTGATTAGGTACCTACCGCTTCACCACCTTGCCCAACCTACCAAAAATCTCACGAGCCGCCACTGACTGTCAATGGTTTCTAAATAGTCGACTCGGATGACTGTCTCAAAAAAAAACGTTTTTATTAACTGCAGAATAATCGGTGCGGTTATTTTATAGTAAAGAGGTTCTTACAGTTTTAACAATAAAGTGATGTTTTCAAAAAACACAAATCCTGCAAGATCCTGAGACAAAATTTTAACTACAATTTTAAATCATCTGTAAATTGTTTAATAATTCAAAATATAACAGATTGCTGCAGAATGTCCAATTGATTTATACAGAATATTTTTTTATTATTGGAAGGTATAGAAAGTTTCCATAAAGTAACGTATTCTTGTCGTTTCTTTTACTTTCTAAAAAAATAAACATTTGCTTGACGGAACTGTTATAAGGAAGTGACCATACCAACAACCATTACGATTTTGATTACTTCCATTTATTTTTTATTTCTTGTCAATACAAAATCAATGAATTTTGAAGCAGTGCTAGCTAACCAAAAATGCCATTTTCAGTAACCGTCAGTTTTTTGACTGACTTTTTCTATACACTACAGAAGCTACCATCTGATTTAAATCTAGTTTCTAATTATTATGTCAATTTATAAAAATATAAGTATTTGTAAATTTATAAAATTATAAAATTTTTCTTATACGCGACGATGCAAGTGATTTGGAGACTCCACTTCGCTCACTATCAAAATACATATCTGTATGAACAAACTCACCTCGACTTCCTCCATTTTTTAACAAAACCACACTGATGTCAACGATTACTTGACTCCGACTAAACTCTGGACCGGAACGTTCTATCTTATACTCCAAGAGCCCATGACACATGTTTCATGAAGATAGTATATACGAATAAATAATGAACGGTCTGAATGATCTACCGTGGGACACCAGGTACTGTGCATAGGGGATAGGTACAAAGTATGATGAGTCTATAATTGTGATTTATCACTACAAAAACATTTTTTAGATTTGCTTATACGGGGTGTGTGAAAAAAATTATTGACTGAGTCAGTTTATTTTATTGATTAAATCAAGAATTGCAAAACTGAATACTCTGAAATCTTGACGTTGTGAAGCATGTAAGCATGGTAACTTTGTAATGAAAATGTATCTGTTTATCAACCGCAAAAAATTGGTTACGGCATCTCAAAATTTTGCCGAATAAATTCTTTCACAAATGTGTAAAATAGGACCAGACTTTTAATCATTGCATTCATATTTTTTAGCTTTGCTTAAACAGGTGACTCAAAAAAATTAATGAATCAATCAATTTATTATATCGATCAAATTAAGAACGAGCCACCCATTTTCTGGAAAATGTGAGAATGCGCTCGTCTTTATAACAATAAAATAATGATAAGGTAAGAATTATAATAATAATATTCAGAATATTTTGTTCAATGGAGACTTATGAATAATTTTAGTCGTCTGTTTTGGGGCGACAAACTCATTCAAATCAAACAAATGTCTACGTGACATTCTTCCGATGTAATGTATTCCCGTTGATAATGTGCTGTAAATATATGTTTTACACTCATAATCTTTTTTGATGACCTTGGCGCATTCAACGGCATGCGGGACGTCGAACATCACGCACAGATGCGTTTTGCTATAACGTCGTTGTTTATAAATAAGGCTGACTTACTCGCTCCTCGCTTTCCAATTATGTATCATTTTTAATAATAAAAAAAATAGTTTTATTTTCAGCGAGACCGACACTTGAAAATTATTAAAAATATTATTATTATTATGTCGTGGATATGGATTTTAAAATCATCAACTGACGTTCAGTCGAGCCACTGGTCTGCCGTGGTCCATGCGCAGCGCATAAATTTCAACCCCCTAGCCCAATTTTTTTAGTATTGTTAGACTACATCTATCCAAACTGATATACGTGTCCTGGCAAAAAAGTTGATGACGTCATCGCAAAAATTTTTAAAAATGCTCCACTACAAAAATGTAATCAGAAAAAAAAACACAATAGGCATGCCGTCGTTACGTTTCTGACACGAAGGGAAATACTGTCTAAACTCTGTAGATCTTTTTTTTTATTAATATCTCCCGAAAAATTGGATTATGTTAAATCCCGTAAATATGATTTTTTTTGTTAAAATGGCAATATTTTCATAAATTTCAATTACATAAAATGCGTAATACAAAACCAAACCACGATAACAAATGAACGAGTTTCGTGTATAAAATTAAATTCTGCGGTAATCATGGTAAAATGATAAAACGGAAAAAGAAATCTAATCTTATGTCATATCCATTTTCCTCATGAATAACAATAACACAGGAAATAAAATTTTTAATTTCAGTAGATATATTTGCTTAAGGATATTCGATTCCAAAAATAGACAAATCTTTAAGGTTTATTTTAGTTTTATAATTTTTCAGAAAGGCTGAATCTGTTGGACTGTACTTCAAGGGGTGTAAATAACCTTGTAACAATATTTTTGTTTTAGGAGAATTTCATTTTTGTTTAATTACAAAATGCCAAGAAATTTTTTGCATTACAAAAATTAGGCAAGATGTTAAACAGGTAAAAAGAATTGTGACCGTAGGCGGTCTCCGCTTCCTGTTCTGAGTTTATGGTTTCTGAGAGTAATGCATTAATCGCAACAATACTAAACAAACGCCATGTACGCTAAGATTTTTTCTTTTTTCCTGCAGCTGGGTAATACTTTCTTCGTTGAAGGTCCAGTTCATCCAGAGATGTTAAAACCGACAGTTTTTCTCGCAAGCTTTTCATGTTCAAGTAAACAAGAAGATCGTTTGAAGTTTTTCTTGCCGAGATGTTAGGTTTAACAAGCGATGCTATAAAACAAAAAAAATCAGTCATAATGTGCCATTTAATCGACCAATTTAGTTTTCAAAAAAAAAAGAAGTAGTGTGTAATTATACTTCTATGTTAAACTTGATATTGCTGAGTTTTCCATTCGGGGAAAAATTATTTAAAATATGACGTCATAAACACATAATTCAAGTTCTACTTACCAGTAGGAAACGAAGCATTGTTCTTTTGGACTTTTTCCTTTCGCGTGAAGTTTTTCGCGCAAACCCTCGGGATAACCAGACTAGAGACCTCTTTCGATGCCCTAGAAAAAATATATAAGAACTAACATTCATATATTACAACACAAACAGTTTTTTAAAAAACTAAATTAGTACCATACTCGTATGTTAATCGACAGAGCAATTTGTGTTTTGGTAACAAGTATCTGTTCTTTAGAAAAAAAATTAACAAAGTTAAATAAGTTAAAATGACCACATGTTGACGTTGTAATATCATCGAACGAGTTCTGGAAGGGGAATTTCTTGAAGTGTTCGAAAAAGATCTTTGGTTTCTTGAAAATGATCCTCCATTGCCTAAGCCTATTAAACGTATTGTTGAATTTGAGCACTTAGTTTACCACTGAAAAAAAAGATGTTGTAGGTAAATTTAATAACACAAAGATATTTAAAATCATTAAAAAAAATTGGTCTAAACAGTTTAGACAGTACTTCCCTCGCTGTCGGAAACGTGACGACTGCATGCGTATTATGTTTTTTTTTCGCAGTAGATTTCAAAGCATTGGGTTTTGTAGTTCCTGAGTAAGCCAATAAAATAAATTTACGCATTCATTTTTTTTTTTGAGTCACCCGATATATGCAAATTCAAAAAATATGAATGGAATGATAAATTACAAGTTCAGACTCGTCATATTTTTTTATAAAGATTTATGATGCTCTTTATAGCCTTAAAACATCTTTAACATTTCAAAGCATTCGGGTTAGCAGATTCAAAATTAAATTCCAAAATCTTGTTTCATAATTTTGATTTTTTTTTTTAAATCTGGACGTTTCGGGTAAAAACTCAATTCGGAGTCATAAACTACATGTGTAAGACTATGTTATTTTATACAATATAAAACCCATTTACTATGTACAATTTTGAAGTGACTTCATCACATTATTGGTGGGGATGATTAGACAAATTTTAGTTAGCGTTTTACCATCTACATGATATTCCTAATATAAATGCAAAATTTCACAACAATCGGTCCAGTACTTTCGGAGATTATCTGTCTAATAAAAATCCGGGACGGCAGACAGACGGACAGACGAACAGACAACGTGAACTTACGAAAATCGTGGAATGGTGCTATCAACATATACTTATTATTAATATTAGTAAATGTTGCTACATTTCATATTGTCGAAAACTTAATATCGTTGATTTTTCTTATTCAATAGAAGGTACACTGTTAGAACGAAAAACATCGATCAAAGATCTTGGAGTCACTTTTGATAGCTGCTTGACTTTTGATATTCATCTTACCAACATTTGCAATGCTGCAAATAAATGTTTGGGGTTAGTCATGAGAACTTCAAAATTTTTCAACAACATTGACGTAATTAAATCCCTCTTCTTTGCATATGTTCTTACGAAATTAGAGTACGCCTCACTAATATGGTATCCCATATATATGTGTCAGCACATGCTTCTTGATAAAGTGCACAGGAAATTTTTGAAATTCCTTTCATTCAAAATTGATGGTAATTATCCGGCCAGAGGTATTGAGATGGAAAGTCTTCTTCAACGACACAAGATGTCCTCTTTGATGGTTCGAAGGGATTTTCATGCCGCTAACTTCTTGTGTAAGCTTATTCACAACAAAATTCATTGATTATTTATTATCACAGATTCGATTTAATGTCCCTCGGCCAGCATCGAGATATGTTAACACCTTTCATATCTCCACAGCCCGAACTAATATCCTTCGTCGTTCGCCAATTACTGCAATGTGTCGATGTGCAGATAGATATGTAGCTGATATATTTTATTCAAATTAGTTTATACTTGGAATTATGTTTTTGTTATTTTTATAATTTTTGTGTTGGTTATTCATGTAAGTAATTATTTAGATTTGTCCTGTCATTAGGGTAACTTGTTGGACAATAAATTATTATTATTATTAACAGACGGACAGGCAGACGGAAACGAGACATCTATTTCTTCGTCTTCTAGGGGTCGAGAAAATGCTAAAGTAGAGAGTCGGCCGACGGACTCGATTACAATACTTCCTTTGCTTCCGCTCGGGAAGTAAAAAATTGTGAACTAACCTTTCTTACAGGAAGAAAAATATGACTATGCAGAACGAGTTCTTGCCTAAGCATATTAAATGTATTGTCTAATTTGAACACTTGGTCCACCACTGAAACATATAGATTTATATACACTTAATAACATAAATAAATTTATAATCAATAAAAAAAGTTACAGAAAAACGTGAAAATTTTAAACATAATAATTATATTGATTAGATTTTACTTACACCACGGCGCGGCGTAAAAAATGATATAAAGAAGAATGGATCATTCAACGTTATTGCTTGAGCCAGTTGTTGTTTTCTAGAAGATTGGAAGTATTTCATAATTTCTTTTTTCTTGTGTACACCTTTGCTAGAAAGCTAAAGTCAAAGTAAAAATAACGGGGATATATTTTTCTTACCTTTGCTATAGATATGTATACAGCGAGATTACTGCATTTTACAATAGGGCTAAATTTACGATACTTTTTGTTGTAATTTGTGACTGCTGAGGCGATTCTGGAAGATACTTTTTGAATTTTATTTTCACGATATAAGTAGAACATATTTACCAAAATTACTTCTTCATTTTCTTGGTTGTTTCTTTTGCATCTTAAATTGTCGAAAAAATCAATCAGAGATGGACAACGTTGTCCAACAGTTGAAAGAAGCCGAGTTTAAAGCTTCCGCGGCGT